TTTTTTTCCGAGACAAGGTCTCACTGTCACCCAGTCTGGAGTGCAGTGGTGCAATCATAGCTCACTGTACCCTCAACCTCCAAGCCTCAAGCAATCCTCCTGCCTCAGCCTCCCAAGTGGCTGAGACTACATGTGCATGCTTGGCTAACTGGCTAATTTTTGTTTCTTGTAGGGACAGGGTCTCACTATTTTGCCCAGGCAGGTCTCAAACTCCTGGCCTCAAGTGATCCTCCTTCCTTGGCCTCACCAGTGCTAGGATTATGGGTGTAAGCCACTGTGCCCAGGCTTCCATATTTATTTTTAAGGACTCACTAGACCTCTGGCCTCTGCCTAGATTATCTGCATACATGGGTAAAGAGTGGTTAAGTGAACAAAGAATAATAACAGAAATGACAACACAGTTTATGATAATCATGCTGGTAATAGCTAACGTTTTGTTGAGTTCTGTACTGTGGAGTGTTCTCAGTGCTTTCATCTGCATTACTTACCCCATTTACTCCTCACCACAAAGTTACTGGGTGGGTACTTCTACTATCCCCATTTTACAGGTGAGAAAATAGGCACAGAGCTTAAATAACTTGCCCAAAGTCACATGACTAGCAAGGGGCAGGACGGGAGCTTGAACCCAGATCAGGACACGGGCGTCCATTGCCGCCTGGAGAGTCTGCACCTTTTGTGCTGATGGCAGAAGGCCATCCCCAGCAAAACCTCATGGAAAGCGACCCCATTTCTGCTCTTCATGCTGCCTTTAGATTAGCAACTAATGAATGCTGAGGTCAACAGCCTGGAGCTACTTGAAAGTTTCCAGTTATGAACAGACACAATGGTTCAAACCTGTAATCCCAGCACTTTGGAAGACTGAGGCAGGAGAATCATTTGAGGCCAGTTTGAGACCAGCCTGGGCAACATAGCAAGAGCCCCTCTCTATAAAAAATTTAAAACTTGGCCTGGCATGGTGGCTCATGCCTCTAATCCTAGCACTTTGGAAGGCAGAGGCAGGTGAATCACGAGGTCAGGATATTAAGACCATCCTGGCTAACATGGTGAAACCCTGTCTCTACTAAAAATACAAAAAATTAGCCAGGTGTGGTGGCGGGCACCTGTAGTCCCAGCTACTCAGGAGGCTGAGACAGCAGAATTGCTTAAACCCGGGAGGCAGAGGTTGCAGTGAGCCGAGATTGCGCCACTGTACTCCAGCCTGGGTGACAGAGCAAGACCCTGCCTCAAAAAAAAAAAAAAAAAAGTTACCAGTTGTCAGATTTCCAGGGCTATAGAGTCATCCAGCAGCTTCTGGAATGCAGCTGCAATGGGACCCTCCAGTTATGTGTGTGTGTGTGTGTGTGTGTGTGTGTGTGTGGTGGGGGGGGATAATAAGGGCACCCCTCACACTTACTTTCTAGGAAAATCCACGAAGAGTGTCACAGCCAAGATGATGATGAAGTCGAAGATCATCAGCTTGTACATTTCCTGCCCAACTTGGGTCTCCCAGCACTGAAACCAAAGAGAGTGAGGGAAACTGAAAGACCCTAGCTGAGGCAGAGAAAGCCAGGCTCCCAAGACACCTTCTAATTCCCTTTCCAACTCCAGATCCTGTGGCTCCAGCGAGGGCATCAGCTGAGACAAACGCTGAGCCTCAGCACAGACTTTGGTTTCCAAGCCCTCAGAAGTGCCCGGGGTTGGACTCCATGGGGCCACACTCTGTCTCATCACTAGAACTAGAAAGCGAAGCAACTGCAGTTCAAACCCATGACTTCAATCACTGTTCTCTTGACCATGACACTGTACTCTGGAAGGACCCAGCCAGCCTCACGCCCCCGCCCCACAACTCACTGGGTAGAGTTTCTGGTTGTAGCCGCAGAGGTCGCACGTGTCATCATCACAGGATGTGATCTTAGAGCCCAGCGTGAACACCAGGACACATATGGTGGCCAGCCGCATAAAGACACACCTTCAGAAAGAGAAGGAGGAGAGAGGATGGGAAGATGAGGCTCTCAGGGCGGCTGGTCCCTTGGAACTGCGGCTAGCGAATGTAGAAGCTGCCTTTTTTTTTTTTTCTTTTCTTTTTTTTTTTTTTTGAGACCGAGTATCACTCTGTCGCCCAAGCTGGAGTGCAGTGCCGCCTCCAGGGTTCAAGCGATTCTCCTGTCTCGCCCTCCCGAGTAGCTGGGACTACAGGCGCCCACCACCACACCCGGCTGATTTTTTTTAATTTTTAGTAGAGATGGGGTTTCACCATGTTAGCCAGGATGGTCTTGATCTCCTGACCTCGTGATCCACCCGCCTC